TCTCCATTTATGATGAGTGGAGCATGGTCCTGTCTGTGTTTCCTGAAGTCCATAATCAGTTCTTTAGTTTTACGGACGTTCAGTGACAGATTGTTCTGTGAACACCAGACAAACAGGTTCTCTACCTCGGCCCTGTATGCCGTCTCATCCCCACCGGAGATGAGACCAACCACTGTAGTATCATCTGCAAACTTAGTGATAGTGTTTGTTGCGTGGGATGGTGTGCAGTCATAGGTGTACAGGGCGTACAGCAGGGGGCTCACGACACAGCCCTGAGGGGAACCAGTGCTGAGTGTGAGAGTAGTCGGGGCCGAGTCTGACAGATTGTGGTCTGTTTGTGAGGAAATGCTTGATCCAGGTGCAGGTGGAAGTGGGGACCTGCAGATTAAGCAGTTTGGTGACTAATACTGTATGTCTGGGATGATGGTGTTAAACGCAGAGCTATAGTCCACATAGAGCATTCTCTCTTAGCTCTGTGTGTTCTCCAGGTGACTCAGCGCTCTATGAAGTGTGATGGCAATGGCATGCTCAGTAGATCGTTTTACTCTATAAGCAAACTGGTACTGATCAAAAGAGGGCGGAAAGCAGTCTCTGATATGCTGTGAGACTAGTCACTCAAAAACCTTCATAATGATACATGTGAGGGCTATGGGTCTATAATCATTAAGATTGTCTATGTTTGTTTTTTTGGGGATGGGGATGATGGTGGCAGCCTTTAGGCATTGTGGGACGATGGCATGTGTTAGGGACAAGTTGAACAGCTCGGTGAAGATCCCTGCCAGCTGGTCAGCACACGCCTTTACTACTGCCCCCATGCCATCAGGTCCTGCAGCTTTCCTGGGATTCACTGCTGTCATCGTTCTCCTCACCTCATGCACCTGAAGAGAGAGAGGTGCAGTGTTGTAGTTCTCATGAGGCAGTGTGTGCGGGTTCCTGGTGGTCTCAAAGCATGCAAAATAGTTGTTTAGTTCCTCTGCCAGAGTGCTGCATGCTATCGGTGTTTGTTGGGCCCTGACCTTTATAAATGGTCAGGGCCTGTATGCCCCACCACATCTGCCGTGGGTCACTGTCCCTGAAGTGGCCCTCTGCCTTCCTCCTGTACATCTCCTTGGCATGTTTGATGCCCCTTCTCAGGTCGGCTCTGGCAGTGCTGTACAGTGAGGTGTCACCTGCTTTAAAAGCTAAAAGTAGGAACATGAACAGTCCGTGCTGGGGGTGGGTGGGATCTTGAGGATGGAGGGAGCCTTCCTACACACCCTGTGGTGGTAAATGCTCTGCAGAGAGGGCAGTGAAGTCCTGGTGATCTTTTCCACAGTCTTTACCACTCTCTGCAGGCGCTTGCGGTTCATAGCAGTGGTGCTGCCAGACCAGACAGTGATGCAGCTGGTCAAGATGTTCTCAATAATGCAGCTGTAGAAGTTGCAAAGGATCCTAGGTGACATGCCAAACCTCCTCAGCCTCCTCAGGAAGTACAGCCGCCGTTGGGCCTTCTTGACCAGCTGTGTAGTGTTATGTGGCCAAATGAGGTCCTCACTGATGTGGACACCCAGGTATTTGAAGCTGCACACCCTCTTCACTTCGAGCCCCCGGATGAACAGTGGCCGATCAGTTCTCCTCTCCTTCCTCATGTCCACTATCATCTCCTTTGTCTTGTCTGTGTTGAGGGTGAGATTATTGTCCTCGCACCACTGTCAAACTTTATTGCAGGTTCTTCAACACAATTTCACTTACATAATCCAGTGCTCCTGAAACATGTAGCCTACTGAAGGGGCACCAAATCAAAACCCTTTTCTGACTTCAGAAGGAAATCACCTGATATTGAATTTTGGGAGATGAACAAATGTGGAATTAGATA